AAGAAGTTCACTCTAGCTTTAATAGATATACTCAGCAATTGGCAGAATTCTTGCATTGGTTCTGCAGAGGGAGGGCTATTATCACAAGAAGGGTCAAGTGGAAGCCACAAGAACTGCCTCCATCTGGGAAAATAGTAAACCAAAAGCAATACTACATTCCTAGAGGGATTGCAGAGATTGTGCCACCACCAAGGACTTGAGGGATACAAAGGTGGTGCCAAACGGGCAAGGAGGCTGCATCTTCTGACCTCCTCCAGCTCCATAAAAGGAAGAAAGAATCACCATCGTAGCCCAAGGCTTATTCCTCCTAGGCCAGATATGCCACCTCCCTCCAGCCCTTTTACCAGCCCTGACACCAACTGTTCCTCCTTCAGCACCACCACCTCTCTGCTGGGTTCAATAATTCACTGCAGTGGCCACAAAGAACTCACAGATTATGGGGTTTATTAGGGAAGCAACAGGCTACAATTCAAGTTCAGAAATACACTCAATCTCTCACAACCAGCTGTCTCACTTAGCAGCCAGCCATCTCTCTCTCAGCAGCACATGTCTCTCGTGTCTCTCTCTCAGCAAGTGCATTTCTCTCAGGAGCGCGTTACTTTCAGCAGCACATCTTTCTTAGTCAGCAGTCAGAGACTCCTTCTGTCTCCAGGAGGGCTCCTTTTGAGCCTGGCAGAGTGGCCAAACTAACCAATTCCAACATCAGAATTCTATACACCTGAGAGAGAGAGAGAACTTCCCAGAAAAGTACTTCATGCCACTCTCAACAGAAATATACCCCAGATGGATAACTTTAACAATGCCATGTTGCTCATGGCAAATTCTACCATGCATTTTATAAAGACTTATGGCTAGAAAAGCCACAATACGTGATTTACTACACCACAGGTGGTAATTTCTACTATATCCTCCTATTCAACTTGCCTATTTGGCATGTGCAAAAAAACAGATGAAATGTTGTACACTTAACCCAGTGACTCCACTGAAACTACTTCTTCAGATGTGGTTTCACTGCTCCACTAAATTAACACATCCCCTGGTACACAGTATGCAGCTACTAATCTGGCAAATGTTTCTTTCTCCATCCTGTTGCCATCAAGTCAATTCCAACTCATAGCAACCCTATACAACAGAGGAGAACTGCCCCATAGGGTTGTTAGGCTGCAATATTTACAGAAGCTGACTGCCCCCATCTTTCCTCTACAGAGCAGCTGGTGGATTCAAACTATCGACCTTTCGGTTAGCTGCCAAATAGTTAACCACCGGGCCACGAGGGCTTTTTTCTCCAGACCTGTTAGTAAAGACACCAGAAATCTGCTTTCAGCCTTGCATGGTCAGCAATATACCTTCAATAACCTATCTCAGGGTTATACGAATTCTCCAGGCTTGTATCATAATTTACTCTGCAGAGACCCTGACTGCCTCTCTATTCTATAAGACATCAATCACACTGGTTAGGCTTAGTGAGCAGGAAGTAGCAACTACTATAGACTTACTGGTAAAATATTTGCATGTGAAAGGGTGAGAAATAAATTCAACAAAAATTCAGGGGCTCTCCACCTCAGTGTAATTTCTAGGGGTCCAGTAGTGTGGAGCATGTCAAGGTATCTCTTCTAAGGTGAAAGGTAAGTTGTTGCATATGGCCCCTCCTGCAATTGAAAAGGAGGCACAACACCTGGTGGGCCTCTTTGGCTTTTAGAGGCAACAGATTCCTCATTTGAGTGTGCTACTCCAGTCCATTTACCAAGTGAGTTGCATAGCTGCTAATTCTGAGTGGGGCCCTGTGGTGGTTATATTTGTGTGTCAACTTGGCTAGGCCTGGTTGAGTGGCTAGGCAGCTGGTGGTAGTTACTCCCCATGATGAGACTGGCAATCAACTCCATGGTGGGATCCACCACAAGCAGCTGAGTAGCTGCCTTTGGGATGTGGTTGGCTTCCTGTATATAATGAGAAGCTCTGAGTAAGGTCTCTAGCCTATGGCATGCTTGGAACCTGCATGTAGCCATGTCATTGCTCAGTAGCCTGCTGTGCTCTGTCAACCTTGGGACTTAAGTTAATGAATGCCCTGCTGTGTGGTTTGGTAACATCAGGACTGTGCCTTTTTACTTGTCAACCCTGGGGCTTCTCAGCCTCAGCAGCTAGCAGCCGTCTGAGTGAAGAAATGCCTCTAGCTCCAGTGGGCCAGGGGCAGGAGGCAAAGTTGGACCCCAAGGTTGAGGGGCTTTTACCCAGCCGCTAGAGCCTGGCACTTTGAACTTGGACTTAAAGCCTCCAAATTGTAAGAATAAACTCCTGTTTGTTAAGACCACCCCATTTGTGGTATATTTCCTGTCAGAGCGGCACTAGGTAACCAGAACAGGCCCAGAACAAGAAAAGGCCCTGCAACAGGTCCAGGCTGTTGTGCAAGCTGTTCTGCCTATGACCTGGCAGATCCACTGGTGCTTAAAGTATCAATGTCAGACAGAAATACTATTTGGAGCCTCTGATAGGCCCCTATAGGTGAATCACAGCACAGACCGGTAGGATTCTTCAGCAAAGCCTGCCATCCTCTACGGATAACTACCATTCTTTTGAGAAACAGTTTTTGACTTGCTACTGGGCCTTACTAGAGACTGAACACTTAACCATGGGCCACCAAGTTACCAAGCAACCTGAGCTGCCCATCATGAACTGGGTATTCTCTGACCCACCAACCTATAAAGTTGGATGTGCACAGCAGCTCTCCACGGTCAGATGGAAGTGGTATATAGACGAATGGGTTCAATCAGACCCTGAAATCACAAGTAAGTTAAATGAGGAAGCAGCCTAAATACTCATGGCCCCCACTCCTGCTACATAACTATTCCTCTCCAGCCTGCTCTTATGACCTCACAGGGAGTTCCCTAGAATCAGTTAACTAAGGAAAAGAAAACTTGGGGCTGGTTTACAGATCGTTCTGTGTGATATGCAGGCACCACCCAAAAGTGGACAGCTGTAGTACTTCAGTCCCTTTCTGAGACACTTCTGAAGGAAAGTGGTGAAGGGAAATCCTCCCAGTGGACAGAACTCTGAACACTACACTTGATTTTTCAGTTTGCTTGGAAGGAAAAATGGCGAGATGGGCAATTTTATACCAATTCATGGGCTGTAGCCAATGGTTTGGTTGAATGGTCAGGGACCTGGAAAAAAATATGATTGGGGAATGAGAACAAGGAGACCTAAATAGACAAAAGACATGAAGATATTTGTGTCCATGTGAATGTTCAGCAAAGGGTGTCCTCATCAGAGGAAGATTTTAATAATCAAGTAGATAGGAAGACATTTTCTGTGCATACCAGTCAGTCTCTTTCCCCAGATACTCCTGTCATTGCCCAATAAGCTCATTAAGAAAGTGGCCATAGTGGCAGGAATGGAGGTTATACTCAGCAACATGGACTTCCACTTCTCAAGACTGATCTGGCTATAGTCTTTGCTAAGTGCCCAATCTGCCAGCAGCAGAGACCAACACTGAATCTCTGATATGCCAGCGAGGTGGCACATCTTGCAAACTGGTACTAAGCCATGTTGACCATTCCCACCAGAACAATCTTACCTGTTCCTATTTCTAGGAGGCCACCAGCGGAGACCTAGACTACCAACACCTTCTTCCTACAAGCCTTCCTTTTCTCCAATCTCTCCTATTCCAATCTACTGTATCCTACTTTAAGATTAATCTTTATCCTTTCCATAAACTCCTCTCTATATACAGCAGAAATAGCTCTATCAGGCTCTTTTCGAGGAAAAAAAGTACTTCATAGTGAGATCCCAGGTAATTACTGCTATGCAAGTTATCATGATAGTGTCAAGGCTGAGTTTCAATCCTACAAATATCAAAGCAAGCTATATTTATTATTATGAGAAGTACAACAAATTATTATAAATTGTCTTTGAGTAGCATTAGCAGTTCCTTATTACATCAACAAGGAGCTCTGGTGGCATAGTGCCTAAGGCATTCAACTGCTAACCAGAAGTCTGGCGGTAAAAACCCACTAGCTACTTCTCAGAAGGAAGGTTGGGCAATCTACTTCCATAGTGACACTGCCTCGGAAACCCAAGGAAGGATCATTACGAGTCAGATCTGACTCGATGGCAATAGATATTACATCAATAATCACTAACATAGTTGGAGATTTGATTTAGCATAAAAATTGCCAGTCTTTGTTCTGCCAATATAGAAACTGGAGTATGTAAGCACTTAACCTCTTTGAGTCCTAGCCCTTGTTTGTAATATAAAAAAAGTTGTATGTGTATCACTCTATGTTCCCAAACCCAATAAGGTATCATTAATTGAGCGCTTTCCTAATGAACCCAAACTAACATAGTCATCTAGGAGATTAACACCTATGGAGGAACTGGCACAGGTGAAATCGTTTTGTTATTCTTGAACTATATTTAGGAGCTCTGGTAGCATAGTGCCTAAGGCACTTGACTGCTAACCAGAAGGCTGGCGGTTCAAATCCACCAGCCACTCCTCAGAAGGAAGGTTGGGCAATCCTACTTCCATAGTGATACTGCCTCGGAAACCCAAGGAGGGGTCGCTATGAGTCGGGGCCGACTCGACGGCAAATAACAACAACAACAACATATAACCTTTGGAATTCCTCCTAATTTTAAAGGTCTATGATTCTACAGAATATAGAAAACTCTAAAGCTATAGAAATGTATAAAAAATTCCACTAATTAAAATTCACAATTAACTTGAGAATACTTCTAGAATCTAGAAAGTATTCTGAAATTTTTATCAAAATTATTTTTTGTACAGTTTTAAAATAATTGGTTTTGAAATTTAAAACTGTTTTTTAACAAATGTCAGTTTGACAGGTTCACTGCAAATTCATACTTTGGTGACAATGTATTTTGGAACACTACCAAAATGGTCACAGAAATTTTATATGGGCATATAAAAGTTACACATCTAGTCTTGGAAAGTAATTTCTGGAAAGTTCAACATCATGAAACTTAATTTTTTTTTTTACATTTACCTTTTTTCTTCTTTTGCTCTCAGCTGTTCTTCCTGTCTCAAAACTTGAACCATAATAGATTCAAAAACTCCACTTGTCAAGCCTGCCAAAGTTCGCGGTGTTGACCGACGCCTTGTTGAAGTACATGCAGTTCCCTTCTCATCCTCCAATCCATAATAGCCTCTAGATGTAACTGCTATCGTTGTCTTTTCTCTCAAGTGCCTTGGAGAAGAATAAGTCAATTCACAAGGTCAAAGGTCAAATCTTCTGGATAAGCAATAAACCCCCTTAACCAGTATCTTAAGAAAACTCCTTTTTTGTGGTACATCCTGATGAAACTAACAGCTACATAAAAAATATTTAGTTAAAACTTACTTAGCTAGTCTCCAGATATTTATCCTCTCTACACAGTTTCTAATTTTTCTTTACTCATTTCATAAAATAATTTCCCTGTATTTAAATACACACACACACACACGCACGCGTGGGACTAAAGCATCAAAATTAAAAACTAAACCACTACCTCTTTAATAGAAAAAAATTTAACTATTTGCAAAATTAAATATAGCTCCTTTATACATCTTTATATCTCTCCACAGATTTCCTACTATCATTGGTATAGTGCAATGGTTAAGTGCTTGGCCCCAGATGCTCAGTGGCAGAAAGATTAGGCAGTCTGCTTCCCTAAAGATTGCAGCCTTGGAAACCCTATGAGGTAGAGTTACTCTGTCCTACAGGATCACTTTGAATTGGAATCAACTCAACAGCAACCAGTTTGGTTTAATCATTGTTGGTATAGGAAAACGTACAATAATACAAAAACTTTTGGGTAGAGAAAATTTACAATGATACAGTTTGAAGAATGAAGCATTCTAATATAAATTTTCAAGTTAAGAATATGGAAACTTTTCTCACTAAACTGTAAAAAGTGTAAACTTCTACAATAAATGTCTCCTTACCCTATGACATCTTTATTCCAGTTTTTAAAGATAATGATGAAAAATAGTTTCTTAGCAGTTTGCTTAATTATCCATAAGTCCCCTATGATAAAATCAAGTAAGTGCTCAAAGAAGTAAACATTTATTATGCTGGATAAGAAGTTATATAAATTAAAAGTTGACTCTATAATCATGTTTCCCTGCTGATTAAAGTATTAAGTTACTTGGCTAAATCTTTATGTAAATGAACCAGAGACTGACTAATTTTATGCTGTAACTTCAGTCTTATAGAAGAAAAATTACTTTTTAAATAGTATTCTCTCAGAACAAAGATCAAGAAGTAATTAATATCCTTTATTACTCAAGAGAAATAAAATTTCATGTGCTTTGATATTTATCACTAATAAAATACTATGCAATTTCTCTCATGTCAACATGTAAAGATTAAAAAAACTGATTATTACTCGGTGTTTGAGAGACTATAAGAAAATTCTCCTACTACATCAGTGGGCATGTAAACTGGCAAAGCCTTTCTAGAAGAATTTGGTAATAATCATGAAAATTTAACATGCACAAAGCCTTGGCCCATCATGTTTCAATGGAGCTCCTTTACAGAAACACATCTACAACTGTAGGCAACAAAACACACACACAGCACTGTTTGCTATTTAAAAAATAAAACTAGAAATATATACTAAGAATACAATCCAAAGTCCTTTTATATTACATACAGGACCTACTATGATACGGCCTTTGTCTACTATAACATACATGATTTACACTTGTGGTGCAATGCCTAAGGCATCTGACTGCTAACCAGAAGGTTGGCGGTTCAAACCCACCAGCTGCTCCATGGAAGGAAGAAAGGAAGATGGGACAATCTACTTCCATAAAGATTTACTGCCTTGGAAAGCCAATAGGGGTCCCTATGAGTTGGAATAGACTTGATGACAGTAGACTTGGTTTGATTTTTCTTTATGCATACATTGGGAGATACATAAGCCAACATTTTTAGAAAGCTAGATTATAAAAGTTTAGAGACTACTTGCGGTGAATTGCTTGATGTGGCCCTTCTAGCCACTGTCCTTCATTCTGTGATGTATTGTAGATCCTATTATCCATGCCTGTTTGGGGTGGTATGGTAGTTAAGGTCGGGTGTCAACTTGACTGGGCAGCTGGTAGTAGTCATTCCCTATAATGACTGGCAATCAATGCTGTGGTAGGATTTGCCTTGAGCTGCTGATTGTTAAAGCCATCCACTTGGATTATTTCTGTTGAAGCAATGTAGGTGGACTGTATCTTGAATCCTGCCTTTTGGGAGGGTATAATTCAAATCACCACCCTTAGCTTCCTTGAGGGTATACCTACAAATCTCCTGGGAAGGTTCGCCCTCCTCTTGTTCTGGGTCTGTATTTTGGCTCATCCTCACCTCATCCCTGGATTTGAGACAGCAACCATCATCTGATCTGCTGATCAAGGTTCATCAAACCCCAAGAATTGGGAGGATCCTTCAGACCCACTCACGGATCTGGGACTCGCCAGCTTTCCAGCCTCCACCACTACTACATGAGACGATCCCTTGGGTGTCTGAGTTCTTTGAGGCCTTACAGAGAAATACAGAACACTAAGATGGGGGGAAATCACTGGGAGGAGAAGGAGTTAATGTTTGAAATGATGGAGTGGCATGGTAGTTTGGACATTTGGGACATCTTTAACCTCTGCCTCACAGGGACCAGCCTTTTGCTGATCTCTCTGAGAGAAATTGTTCAAGCAATTGGTGTCAGAATGGTGGGATTCGCAGCAATGGCCCAGACTCTCTGAAATATGTGGTTTTGGGAGAAAGGACATAAATGGGAAAGTAAGAAACCTTTGGCTTCTGGATGGGATAAAAGACACCCATGGATTGAAGCAGCTCTTGCACTGAGATCAGTCACCAAAGGCAAAAGCTATTCATGGGATTTAGGAGAGGTAGCTCTAACTCCTGAGGAATTGGCTAGTTGCATGTATATGGAAATACAGAATGACAAGGAAAAGGCGAGACTTAAAATTTCTTGGTTACTGTTATCAGCAATAGTTGCAATGGCAGGGAAAAAGAATGTAAAGCCGGGATGCAGCACTGAATCAAGCTCAGATTCAGTCAAATTAGAGCTACGACCGCTAGTTTCAGGGCCTACTCAGAAAGAAAAAATTGTGTCAGAACAACAAGCAGTACCAGTAGGACCACTGGTCACCAAAAAGGTAGTCTGGGAAGGGAACAGGCAAAGCCAAGAAACTACTGGAAGCAGAGGGTATAGTGTGAAGGAGATGCTTCAGTTTGTAGATTGGTATCATCAGCTTCCTGAGGAACCTTTACTAAAATGGATTGTGAGAACAACTAATTTAGGGGTGGCATCTTTAGTTTTGAATACTGCAGAGTAGAAGAGTATGTTTGGATTGATGCAAGACTCACAACTCACTATGGAACAGCCACAAATGTTGATCCAAGATCCATTTACAGGCAGGTTAACCCAGAGGGGGCATCCAGTCTGTTGGAATGGATAAAATCTGCAGTCAGGTTTGTGTATTCTGAGAAGGGAACTGCCCCTCTCCCCCCTCTAAATACGACCTGGAACACTCCAGAGGAAGCAGCTAATATGCTGCTTATGCAAGCCATGCTGGAATGGCTTTATAGTGATTGGGATAATCACCCAATGAGAATGCCCCTTACACAGGTCATGGCAGATAGGGTAATCAAGGGAGCCCCTTCTACATGGGCACCCCATGTAACTCTGCTGTTGCAAAACAAAGCAACAATTTGAGAAACTGTATCAGGTCTATTAGCACAACTTCCCCGCATGGGTTTTACAAATCCAAGAAGCATAAGAGTGATTAATAATAGGAGAATGGAAAGGGGCGATAGGCAAAGAACTTATCTCAGCAGGTTGGAGATTTTTCGATGGTTGTTAAAGCATGGGATGAATATAGCAGACATTGATGGAGTTGAGACAAGGGTGCCGATGCAGCACTATAGGAGACTGGGCAGACCCATGGAAACTCCTGATGGTCCCACCACCTTAAGGAGGCCTAGACAGGTTTGATCTATTCATTCCATTCAGGAGGAATTTAAAAATAGGAACTTCTACCTGGGACCAGATGAAGCACAGACTCAGCTAACTGATGAAGCCAGAGACTGACAGAGGGGCTAGGGTCTTCTAGTCCAGCCCCCAGCAGGGGACCTTAGGCCATATACACATATGTGGGTAAAATGGCCTGGGGGTGGGGAAGAGACCTTCTTGGGACTCCTGGACACGGGAGCCCAATGTACCATCATCCCAAAACCTGTCAAAGGGGCCTAAGGTTAGACTAGAGGGATATGAGGATGCAACAGGTGATGGGACTAAGGTGAAAGTGTGGATGAGAATTGGAAGATTTAAACAGATGTTGTATGAAGTAGTTGCATCTCCTTTACCTGAATGTATTATCGGTATTGATATTATGTCTAATTGGAGAAATCTCCCTCTACCTGATATTGTAAAACTGAAAGTGTGTAAGTCTACCCTTAGGCTAGTATTGATTGGATATACTAAATTGGAACCATTAGAATTGCCTGAACCCACTCAGGCTGTTAACTTGAAACAGTATAGGGTACCTGGTGGACAGAAGGAAATTAGTGCTTTGATTAAAGACATGCTGAAGGCTGCAGTGTTGGTGCCAACAAATTCTCTGTATAATAGCCCTATATGGCCTGTGAAAAAGGCAGATGGCTCATGGAGACTGACAGACGACTACTGAGGCCTTAATAAAGTAATGTCACCAGTGGCTTCAGCTGTTTCAGACATGGTATATTGGTGGTGCAGAAAATACAACAGGCCAAAGGAGACTGGTACTCAGCAACTGATCTTGCAAATGCCTTTTTCTCCATACCAATCTTGGAAAAGAGTCAGTCACAGTTTGCTTTCACATGGGAAGGCTCTCAGTATACTTTCAGAGTTTTGGCCCAAGATTATCTGAATTCATCAGCTTACTGCCATGGCTTGGTTAGGAGAAACTTGGACTTGGTGCAGATTTCAAGTATGCTGATACATTACATTGATGACATTATGTTGGTATCAAACACAGAAGAACAGGCTAGGACAGATTTGAAAACAGTGATGACTCACATGACCAACAGAGGCTGGTTAATAAATCCAGCAAAAACCTAGGGCCCTGCCCCAAAAGTGAAATTCTTGGTAATAACTTGGGCAGGAGTCACCTGTGACATTCCACAGGTAACCAAAAATAAGTTGTTGTCATTACCTACCCCCA